GTATATATATATATATGTGTGTGTAGTATATATATATGTATAGATATAAAAATGTTTACCATATTTGTGTGTGTGTAGTATATATATATGTATAGATATATAAATGTTTACCATATTTGTGTGTAGTTGTCTATGTTCATATTTGACCTTTGATGTGGATCTATGGTTACGCCATTATTTTTATGTTTATAAATATAGACCTATACACTCATGTACACACACGTTCACGTAAACACGCTTTTGATACACATACATACCCGCACGTACAAGTAAACACGCATGTGTGTATGTATTTTCGTGTGTTTATGTAGGCATTCGTTGCAGTCTGTTGGGTATCATCTGCATATTGCCCGAGGTAAACCGCTTCTTATGTTTGGATCACAAATACCACACTCCTTCTGTATATAGGTATGTATTCTGCTCGTTGCGCATGCAAGGTCTTATAACTATCAAGTACACCACCCTAGTCTTGCCTAGCTACAGTGGCCTCTGCATTGTTCATCACTGCTAGACCCATATTAAATCACATACAGATACACGGTATATAACCTGTGCTCTACAGTCGCCTCTGCATTGTTCATCACTGCTAAATCTATATATATATATGTATATATATATATATATATAACCATATTGCATCACATACAGATACAAGGTGTATAACCTGTGCTCTGAACGAGGCTACGATACGGCTTTGTTCCACACCCGCGTGGCGAATTTTCCATTTGACGATCACAACCCGCCGCCGATTGGGTTGATGACTGCTTTCTGTAAGGTATGTGTCCAGGTGCACTACAGGTCTATTTGCACCAAAGACCCATATCTGGTGTCACCAGGTTTATACGAAACGGGTTACCACTCACGTGTATTAACCGGGTTTATACATCGCCCCACTCCCTATAGGACGCTATGGCGTTTCTAGCAGCCGACCCCAAGCATACGATCGCGGTTCATTGTAAGGCGGGCAAAGGGAGAACGGGTGTGATGATCTGCTGCTTGCTGCTGTGTCTGGGTATCCAGTGCTCACCCCTGTACGCCCTGATGTATGTCTTGTGATCACAGGAAAGCTATGTTTAGGTGTGTCTGTCTGGCTGTGTATGTCTTGTGATCACAGGAAAGCTATATTTAGGTGTGTCTGTCTGGCTGTGTATGTCTTGTGATCACAGAAAAGCTATGTTTAGGTGTGTCTGTCTGGCTGTGGCACCCCCGCGTGTAGGTGAAGAGTTCCGACGACCTATTACTTTACTTCACATCTAGGCCGTGTGGCCTGTGTGATTACAGTATGTGTGTGTTGTGATGAAACTCAATGGCTACTCAGGGGGATCTTAGGTACATACTTGGCCAGGTTGAGCCCTAAAAATAGAAAGGGGTGTCCCCTGATCAGTGGTTAAGGTATTCGTGGGTACACCAGTCAACTACACTTATCAGCTTTGCATGGATTTGAGGCTTGTGCATGTGCTCGGTGGGGTGCGTGTGTACCCGTCAGTAGCTAAATAGGCGTCACGATAGGCATCGGCGCGGATGATATCATCCAGTTCACCAGTAGTGTGTGGAGCGTTCTATATCTCTAAGAAGTGCTTTCGGTGACTAGACTAACGGGCCATGCTCATGTATGTATGTACAATGGTTGTGACTGCGGCTTAGATTCCATGTTTTAAGTGTTTTGCCAGTAGAGCCTCTGAGTTCGTATAGAGAGTAGTATTGCGAAGCGCAATAGTAGCAGAGGTGACTGGCTGTGGAGTGGCAAGTGATATTCGGAGTACTTCTACTTCACTTGCAGTTTTGGGCTCTGACTGGCTCTTTTCAATAGTGGTCTCAGTAGAGCACATAGTATGGCCTATGAGATTTATAGTTATAGTACGCTACATGTCACAATCTAACCTATACTGGAGTAGCGTGTAGGTTTATATGATATA